CTTTCAACTTGAAGTTTCCTGTTTTATTTTTCCTGTTTTTGATTTCCTTCGTAGTCATCTGTCAACTGACTCGGTTGACTCGTAGCTAATTTCTGGCCTTGTGCACTGATCTAATACACGAGTCAGCATTTGTTTTGATTATTTTTTATTCATTATTTTTATTGTTATACACAGGTTTGTCGAGGAGGTAAAACAGATTAAATTTAGTGATCCTGCCAAATCCAAACAGATGGAAGAAATTTTGAACAGATTTGATTTAGACGATAGCCTCAGATATGTCAGGTATGGGACTGCATGGCGTGAACTTTGTCCCATGCAGTGACATTCAAAATTGACTTTAAGTAATATTATATTAAAAATATTAAAGTGTATATGACATGAAATTTCTTATTTTTTTAAATGAAAGAACTCTTTAAGTTGTAGTGTAACTTATCTTGTTTTTATGGTTTGTTCCCGAGATATTTCAATTTGCTTGATATGTAAGTGAGTGTGAATATGTCCGCTAATTTATGACGTCATGTTGGTTGCAAGGTGAAGCTCGACTTACACTGGTTATAAATGTGTTAACACTAAAAACTGTTGATATCAGTTCACGTTTTTCTCCAGTGTTTCATCACATTTACCAGTGAGTGAAGTTTGAAATTATCATTTGGGATGATAGCAGTGGTATTCAACCATTTTGAAGAGCTAGCAACCAACATGACGTCATAAATTAGCGGACATATTCACACTCATTTACATATCAAACAAATTGAAATATCTCGAGAACAAACCATAAAAACAAGAAACTGAAAAATAAGTTACACTACAGCTTAAATAAGAGTTTTTTCATATAAGAAAATAAGAAATTTCATTTCATATACACTTAATGTCTTTAAGTAAGAGAAAGCATTACCTTTACTATATTTGAAATATTTTAAAGCTTCTAAGTATGCAACGACCGCAGAGTTTCCACTGCGCATCCATGTGACGCGTTCTGCGTCGAGATAAATTGCAGATGAACAATGACGTGTAGCTGAGACTGGAAGAATTAGAATATGATATTCACATATGAAAGTATTCAGTGATTGACCGATTGTGCCACAATCGGAAATTACCGATTATTCATGCCACAATCTGCCAGATACCGATGCCAATTTTATAAAGACGTCATAATATCAATCGACTGGGTGAAGGTGACATCATTCATGACGATTTTTTAACAATAATTTTCAACGTAACGTAGCATGTTACTGCACCAATCGTTAAAATTGTTAATAAATGGCACGCTTCACGCATTATTTTAACATATTGCGTTAAAACGCAACGTGTATCAACGTGCAATGCATACACTTTTTAAATTAAAGTGTGTTTTTTCTCAACAATCGATTTTAGAAAATCGGAATTATAGGTAATTCTACCGATTCCGATTGTCTACCGGTCCGATATTTCTTTCTAAGACCTCACGCTCGGTTAATCTTCTGGATGAACATTTTAGTGCATCCGATCCGGTCTCAGCTACATGTAGAACAAATTTGGCTAACGTTTGTTTATACCTATTTGACAACTTTAGATCACTCACATGCCTAGTTAACTGTTGTTTTAGCTTACATATAAATAGAACAAAGGCAACTAAGGCCTGCCTCAAACGTCGCGCGTCCCATGTGCCCAACGCATTAGAAACAGTAGATAATGAGGCATTTTAGCTGATTATCTATTGTTTTTAATGCTTTCAGCAAATGAAAAGCGCGACGTTTGAAACAGGCCTAAGCGTTAGAATTATGTAGGCTACACGAGTGATAATATCTCTTAGGCCTATACATAATTCTAATGTTTAGTTACCTTTGTCCTACTTTATGCTTCGGTAAACTAGAACAATGTAATAGCATGTGACTTATCTAAAGTTGTTAATTGGGTAGCAACGATGTAAAACAACGTTAACCAAATGTGTCTATATTGACAATTGGCTACTAGTAATAACAACGACAACAGTGGCATAACAGCTGCTACAATTAAATGTCGGCACTTGGCGAAGACATGCATGTACGCTTAGGTACCTATATATTTCTATACTGCTGGTTTATCTCCTTGTACTGAACAATTTTTATCCACACTTGTTTATCTAGGCAAGTTGCAGAAAACAGCAATTCTCCTGTCTTGTTTTGCCATAATGATGTGCAACCAGGTAAAAAATGTTAGGCAGTTTATTTATTAGCTAAATGCCAGCATAATGTATGTTTGCGAAATTCGAGATTTTTTTCACAAATCAGTTTTACAAATATTCCCAATTAATTTTTGAGATATTTGGAACCAAAATGTCCTGCCATGCATGCGCATTCGCCATCTTGTTTTATAATCAGATCTTATTCAATGGCGTCACAACCATAGGGTATAGACGTTTTAAAACTGAAAAATAAAATCAGCGGAAAGCTTATAACATTGCTTGTGCTTTAATTTACAATCGACAGGAGTAAAGAAAATCGGATTTAGCGAAGAAAATCTGTAATAATGTTTTTGAGATATATCGAGTCTCTCTTCTATAAGTGGCAGAAACTTAATTTTTATTGTTACTAAATGCGATTGAATTAATTTTCAAGACCGAAGTTGACTGACCAATTATCAAAAGTGCATGTCGAAAAAAACACAACCAGAGGTCCAAATTTTATGTTGAGATAGCTGTTGCCTGCACACTCAACATGCACATGATGTTGTCCGCGGGCTTTGAAAATTCTGGATTGTCCCTGAATTTAATGTAAAACCCAGGCCTGCGAAGTCCTTGAAAGTCTTTGTTGGATTGTTTTTAAATTATATATTACAATATCATCAATTGCTTTGCAGGCAATCTTCTGGTGAAGACATATGAAAGTCTTTACGTTGCAAAAATCAAAGTCATCGATTTTGAATATTCTTGTTACAATTATAGGTATGGCAACGCTCAACTTATTCACAGGGTTGTATATAGGCTCCAGCCATGCGATTTGTCGTAATTTTTGTAATTTTGAGTGATTGACATGGAGTTGCAAGAATTTCCTTGTTACCATGCAACGCAAGTTAAACATATCTAGTGAAAATTATCTTCTTTTATTCATTTTTTGCGCATGCAGAAAATTTATCCATGCACAGTATACCAACTAGTGCAGCCAGATCACAGTATGATTGTGAGTTTGTAGTTAATAGTGTATATTGTACTTGTAATAGTATATATTAATATATAATTGTCGTGGGTACAAACTTGGTAAAAAGAACTGTACAGAATGACTTGGGGCTTGACTTGATCACAAACAAAATGACTTGATTTATAATAATTGCTACTTGTGACTTTGATTCGAACTAGATTATGCTTATCTTGGCTAATTGCTTGGCTTGGACTTGCAAGAAATGACTTGGGACTTGACATGGACATGCAAAATATGACTTCTTATACCCTTAAAGCCACATCCATAACGGGAAATTATGTACTATTTAAAACACGAGCAGGAATGCTTTAAAACACGAAAGCGCAGCTCGAGTGTTTTATATCTGATAAAGCACGTACTGCGAGTGTTTTAAATGGCTTAAAAACGAACCATCTAAAGAGTTAATTAGCGATTACTGTCGTTCCAATTGAAGTGTTCCTCAAATATTGATTCAATACATTACCTCGGGCTGACCAATTCATTTGATCAAGTTCCTCGAAATATTCATACACTTCCTAGTATAATTGTAAACTTCCTGTTG